CTACACCCGGCTAATTTTTAAATTTTTTGTAGAGATGAAGTCTTGCTATGTTGCCCTGACTGGTCTCAAACTCCCGCTTTAGCTTCACAAAGTGCTGGGATTGCAAGTATGAGCCATCACACCTGGCCTCAAAATACTTTAAAATTCCTTTTGAGATCTCTTCTTTGACCCATGTGTTATTTAGAAGTGTCTCAATCTCCAAATATTTTGAGATTTTTTCAGCTATCTTTCTGTAACTGATTTCTAGTTTAAGTCCACTGTGGTCTGAGAGCATACTTTATATGATTTCTGTTCTTGTAAAGTTTTTTAGGTGTGTTTTATGACCTGAGGTCTAGTATATTTTGGTGACTGGTTCCAGGTTAGCTTGAGAATGTATATTCTGCTATTTTGGATGAAGTACTGTATAAGTGCCAACTGGATCCAGTTCATTGATGGTGCTATTCTGTTCAGCTATATCCTTATTGGTTTTCTGCCTGCTGGATCTGTCAATTAATGATAGAAGGCTATTTTTTTTTTTTTTTTCACAAGGTGTACTCAGACTTCTATAGAAGGCTCTTGAAGTCTCCTAGTATAACAGTCTCCAAGAATATGTCTATTTCTCCTTGCAGTTCTAGCAGTTTTTGTCTCATGTATTTTGGTCCTCTATTGTTAGTACACACATTAAAGATTGTATCTTCTTGGAAAACTGATCCCTTTTTTTAAAAATCATTATGCAATGCCTATTTTTATCCCTGATCATTTCCCTCACTCTAAAATCTTGTTTATCTGAAATCAAATAGCTACTCCAGACTTCTTTTGATTAGTGTTAGCATGGTATCTTTCTCCATCCCTTTGCTTTTACTATATCTATATCTTTATATTTAAAGTGGGTTTCTTATAGACAACATGCATAAAATACATCTTTTAATTGCTGTATGTAGACCATATCTAAAGTGATTGTTTATATAGTTGGATTGATATATTTACCATATCTGTTTTCTATTCAGTGCCCTTGTTTTTTGTTTCTTTTTCTTTTTTTGTTCTCCACTCTTTTTCTCGCTTCTCTAGTTTTAATTTAGCATTTTATATAATTTGATTTTCTTTCCTCTCTTAGAATGTCAATTGTATTTCTTAAAAAAAATTTTTTTGTAGTTCTCCTAAAGTTGTCAATATCCATTTACAATTAATCTAAGTCCAATTTCAGATAACACTGTATCACTTCACGGATAGTATGAGCACCTTATAACAGAGTATTCCCAATTCCTCCCTCCTGTCCCTTACCATTACTGTCCCACATTTGACTTATCCATAAGATTCGATCATCCAATATTTTTGTTGCTATTGTTTTGATTAAGGTGTTGTTAGATTTGTTAAGAATAAAAAAAATGAATGATTTAATTTTATATTTATGTATTCCTTCTCTAACTCTCTTCTTCATGTAGATCCAAGTTTCTGACATATTTTTTTAATTTTTTATATATATATCAGTTGGCATTAATTTCTTTCTATTTTTTATAGTAGAGACGGGTCTCGTCTTGCTCAGGCTGGTTTTGAACTCTGACCTTGAGCAATCCGCCCGCCTCGGCCTCCCAAGAGCTAGGATTACAGGCGTGAGCCACAGCGCCCGGCCATGACATATTTTTTAATTCTCTTGAAGGGAAAGAATTTTTACCATGCTTGTGAAGCAAATCTATTGGTGACAAATGCCTTCAATTTTTGTTTGTCTGAGAATGTATTTCTCCTTCCCTTCTGAAGAATAATTTCACTGAATATAGAATTCTGGTTGGTGGATTTTTATTTCACAATTTTAAATATTATATCCACTCTCTTCTTGATTACATGATTTATGAAGAGGAGGTATGATATAATTCTTATCATTGTTCCTCTACAGATAAGGTGTTTTTTCCCCTTTGGCTTTTTCCAAGATTTTCTCTTTTCTTTTGATTTTCTGCAATTTGAATATGATCTGCCTAGGTCTTTTTTGGTATTTATTTTGCTTAGTGGTCTGTGAACTTTTTGAATCTGTAGCTTGATGTTTGTTAATTTTGGAAAATTCTCAGTCATTATTACTTCAAATAGTTCTGTTCCTTTTTCTCTTTCTTTTCCTTCTGGTATTCCCATTACCTATATGGTACACCTTTTGTAATAGACCTACGATTCCTGAATATTTTGTTTTTCTCATTTTTTTTCCCTCTTTGCTTTTCAATTTGGGAAGTTTTATTGACATATCTTCAAACTCACTGATTCTTTCCTTGGTCAGGTCCACTATACTGACGAGCCATCAAATGCATTTTTCATTTCTGTTATAGTGCTTTGGATTCCTAGCATTTACTTTTGAGTTGTTCTAAGAATTTCTCCCTCTCTGTTCTTAAATACTATACCCCTTTCCATTAGAGTCCTTAGCATATTAATCATGGTTATTTTAAATTCCCAGTCTGATAATTCTAAAATGTCTGCCATATATAAATCTGGTACTGATGCTTGCCTTGATTATGCCTTTTCTTGTAGCATGGCTCGTGCATTTTTTGTTGAAAGCTAGGCATGATATTTTGGGTAAAAGTTATAGAGGGACATAGGCCTTTTTATGTTTATAGGATTAGGTTGTGTTTATTGTTTGCTGTAGCTATCAGAGGGTACAATTTTCTCTGGTGCCTTTGTTTTGTTTTTTTTCCTCCGCTGTTGCCTTTTTGTTTTGCTAGAGATTTCCCTTCAAAGAAGATCTAAAAGCTGTGATCATGGCCAAGTGCTTAAGGTGTCAGACTCAAAGATCCGAGAGGTGAGTTCTTTCAGTTGTGTGCCTGCTAGACAGGGGCCCTGTGGATGTGGTGGCAAGGTGTGGGGGAGGTAAGTATCATACCGTCCTACTATGATTGGCCGTCAGTCTTTTAGTCAGACTGTGCCCTTCACAGTGCTTCTCAGTTTTTTTTTTTTTTCCTTAATTTTGTAGGTGAGACAAGAGGCTAGAGGGGAGAGGTTA